TTACTGTAAGTCAATGATGGCTTTATTTTTTTTAAATCTTCATAATTGCTATTGGAAGGTTGACATTACATTTCATTTTATAACTGTTAGATGTGACATTCAGTGTATTTAATGTTACCACAAAATCTTTTTCTACTAAAATTTATTACTGTGTGTACTTTGTTGTATTCTTTTTTGTGCGACTATTTATGAACTTTAGAATGCCCTGAAAGGTTTACTCTGTTTCAGGTGTTTTTTTTTTTTTTTTTTTTTTTTTTTTTAATGGTTTGTTCTGTTTCAGGCGGTTGTTGGGAGTTTCTAGAGAAAATGTGAGAATATAAAAAGGCTCTTCGGTATCTTTTGCACTTTTGAAAGCACTTAGGCCAGACACAGTTAATCCCAGCACTTTGGGAGGCCGAGGCAGCCAGATCACCTGAAGTCAGGAAGACCAGCCTGGCCAACATGGCGAAATCTCACCTTTACTAAAAATACAAAAAGTTGCCAGGTGAAGTGGCATGCACCTGTAATCCCAGCTACTTGGGAGGCTGGGGCAGCAGAATTGCTTGAACCCGGGAGGTGGAGATTGCTACCAGCCGATATCATGCCACTGCATGCCAGCCTGGGCAACAGAGCGAGACTCCATCTCAAAAAAAAAGTTTGGGGGGAAGAGCTTAAACTGGGTGTGGTGCATGAGATAGACCATCTTTTAGATGATTGGAACATTTGTTTTTTGGAAATGTATGTTGGTACAAGATACTGTGACTTCGAGTCCTTCAAATGTGCATGACTCCTTGAGATCCATGTACTTAGCCGTTAGTCTTCTTTGTTTCATTGTGGGCAGTTAGCTCAGCCATTGGCTTTGTGACTCTTGGAAGGGTGCCTGGCATGTGGGAGATTATTTTAAATTAATCTTCCAGAGTTTCAGTTTCCCCATTGATGAAATGGAATAATAGTTGGCTTTTTGGTTTGTTTGTCCTTCTCACTTCCCTGGATGATTCTGCAAAGCAAATGAGATGACTGTATATTGTGGATGGTTTGTAAATAGAACATAAACTTATTGTTGCTTGGGTTCATCTCTTATTAAGGATTTTGCATATATTAATGTTATTATTTTTTCTTACCTAAAGCTTTCTTCATTTTATCTTTTTTTTTAGTTGAAGTGGAGAGCAGTGAAACTCTTAGCCTTGTTTTTTCTAGAACTTTGTTGATGGTTGTCTGACAAAAACCTTATTGATAAATAGGCAGGAAAGGGTGTTTTTAACTCCGGTAAAATCAATAGCATTTGATTTTTCTGCTACTGCTATTGAAGCAGCATGGTGTGGCAAAAGGAGATGAGTTTTTGCATTCCCATTCCTCTTTTTCTACTTTAATTTCACTCAGCCTTTGTCAAATGGGGAGATAACTTAAGGTGTTTCTACGAATTAAAGCTAATGTGAAGGCTGGGCGTTGTGGCTCACCCCTGTAATCCCGGAACTTTGAGAGGCCAAGCAAGGCGGGAGGATCATTTGAGCCCAGGAGTTTGAAACCAGCCTGGGCAACATAGGGAGACTCCATCTCTACAAAATATTTAAAAATTAGTCAGACATGGTAGTATGCACCTGTAGCTACTCAGAAGGCTGCAGTGGGAGGATTGCTTGAGCCAGGAAGTCGAGGCTGCAGTGAGCTGTGATTGCACCACTGCACTCTAGCCTGAGCGACAGAGCAACATCCTGTCTCTAAAAAATAAAAAATAAAAAAAATTAAAAAGCTAATGTGTAGAAAATATTTATCACTGTGGCTTGTAGAGGTAGTTGCTCAGAAAATAATTGTTGTCATTATCGTAATTGAATGATTTTTTTTGAAAACTGAAACTTTACTATTCTAATATGTTGTCAGCCAACTGCCAAAATATTTGGCATATAAGTTATTGTTCATCTTACAGAACAGATTACTGAAAATAGGGGTTTGAGGAAAGATTCATGGTAGCTGACAGAGTTTATTTAAGTACCATTGTCTGGTAGACATGTCAGCCTGCACTGATCATCCAGTGATGTACCCTGGAAGAGTTATTGTTTTCAATTGGATATACTCAACCACATTTAAATTAATGCCACAATTAAGGGAAGAAATTGGGGGGCTAACTACTAGATAATAGAAAAATTCCACTTGTAAGTAGTCCTTAATTCACAGGATTTTTATAGCAGATGTTTGCGTTTTTCCTACCCCACAGTACCCTTTGTATCTGCCATGCTGGTTCTAATGAATTTGCACCCTGGTGTCATAGAAACTGTGGAAATAAAAGATTAAAATAGAGCACATAGTAATCAGGTTTCCTTTGGCAAATTGAAGCATGGCGCTGAAGCAGTTATTCAGATAATTCAGACCCAAATCTGTTTTATGAAAATGGAACTGACATTTGTTGAACATTTACTGTGTACCAAGCTCTATGCTAAACACTGAATGTGTTATATAGAATAAGCTTTCAAAAAAATCCTAAGAAATACACATATTATTATCCTGATTTTATATGTGAGGATATTGACACAGAGGAAAGTTAAGTAACTTGCCCAAAACTACACAGTAAGTGATAGAAATGGGACCGCACCTTAACTTTGTCTGACACTGAAATCTGTGGGTTTCTTCTCTAAGTAACATTACCAGTCATACATTTGCCAGAGTTATTTGACATATTACTTTTCAGCTTCAGTGGTAAATTCTTTACTAATAGAATGAAATAAGGTGCTGCAAAAGGAATACATAAAGATAGTGTTTTTCTTTGCTGAAGAAGTTGTGCTACTTTTGGTCAGAGAATGACAAGAATGAGATATTACAGGAAAACCAGCTTGGCCAAGGTGTGCATGTATGTGTGCATGCACACACACAGAGTTAGCTTACACTTCTGAAACTTTGACCTGAAAATAAGGCCTAAAAGGTGTGAAAAATTAATTGCGAGTGTTCTAAATAAGCCTATTAACATCTTCCTGTACCAAGGTTGGGAATTCCATCAAATTCAAGATTCAATTTTGAATCTTTGCCAGTGAGTCTTTCTCACATGTAATCTATATGATGATATCCACTGTAGCCTGGACCAGTAGGGACATCAGAGAGTGCTATTTGAATGTCCTTTCGTAGGCAAGCTGTAATGTTCAGGTACCAGACCTTATATTCGTCCAGCTTCTTGAAGCGTGGTCTCCCAGAATGTTTCAAGACCATATAGTAGACGAGCTGAAGTCTACTCTGAAAAAGTTCCTTGTTCTAGACTTTAAAGCTGTAGTTATATAGGCTTGTATATGCTCTGACCTCAGAAATATCAAAATGGATAATTAATTTTCTCCTTTGGAGGATTTTTTAGATGTCTTGAAAGAATATTAAAGGAATTTTTGATCTTCAAGGCATATTAAAATGACTAAGACTTCAAAAATATTAATTGCTTCTATCCACAGGGTAGCAATCTGAGAGTTATAATTTTGGCAACACTGACACTGTATCTATGTGTCTTTTTGTAAAATCCTATTTGTGAAACTGTTTAATTTTAGGAATGTGGTTTTAGAGCAGATGTAGTAATAAGTACATTACTTTAAAAAAGGAATGAATAGTTCTGTCTGGTATTTTAATTGTATTAGCATCACTCTGTTTTTTAGTGGTGACTAGAATTGGAGCAGCAGATAAAGCAGATAATCCTGAAACTTCATTTTAGATAAAATTCTGAACTTCCCAAACTTCGTATCAGTCCATTTAGTGATTTGGTTATCATTCAGGTGATTGCCTGAGGTGGGGTATAAGGAAAGGTAATGAGAATTGAAGACACCAGGTAGCTGTGCAGCCTGGCTGGGCAGTGGCATTGAAGTCACAGGGGAAGAGGAGATTGCAGGCAACTTCTGAGATGTGTCTTTTGTAAACCATCTCTACCATCTGTTTTCACTGAGGTAGCATAGCAAAAACCTCTTAGTTTCTGTCATTAGTGTACTGCAAATATTTTCCTTTAACAAATCAGTGATTTGTGCTGGTGATTTGAGAGCCCCTAGATAAATTGATCACAGGCTCTACTAGGTTACTTGAAAGGCTTGTCCCTCCTGTTTACTTAGCTGGAATAGTAGAGATACTTCGTAACCTTCCTATTTAAAAAAAAAAATTGTGTGTGTTGAGGGGGGCGGGGAGTTGTTGGCAAGATTTCTCCGACTCTATGACCCTACCAAGCCCCAAAACTAAATGATCCCCCACCAGTTCCCATTTCCCTAGCTCATGGGTTCTCAGTAGGAAGAATATCACCCCCAGAGGGTGTAATTTTGTTTTTTGTGGGGGTGGGAAGTGGGTAAAAAGGTTATTCTGTATATGCATAAAACACACACACACACACACACACACACACATACACATATCTGTGCTTTATACATATATATGTATGTGTATGTCTGTGTGTATGCGTGTATATACACAATACATACACAACATATGAACAAACAGACATCATTATTTGTGGTATTAAAGTTTCATAGAGTTGGGGGAAAAGTGTAAAAAGCCTCCTTACAAGGATGGTAATTTTAAAAGCTTGAGAAACAGGACCTTAAACACTTCAGGTAAAGAAGAATGGATGACACTGGAGGAGAGAAGGGAATGAAAAGGTTGGATTAAGACAGCTTCAGTTTTGTTTAAAATTGGAGTAGTTATCTCCAAGGTAAGGAATAGCAAGAGCTGGGGTCTTGTGAATAGAAAGGTTTAGAACAACTTCTGTTGAAGTAGGCCTGGCAGTGAATATTAGCCGTGCTGGCTAGTGGAAAATACTAAAGTTGGTAAAATCTGGCTCAGTGTTCTTCAGCACCTTTGACCTTTTCTCCTCCTCTCCTAATGGAAACTACATTTGGCTCTCTCCTTCCTTGCCCACCCCCACTCCCTCCTTTCTCTCACTGGTAACCACTGGTTTGCTGGTTTGCTTTCTGTTACTATACATTTGTTTGTTTTTTCTAGAATTTTATATAAATGGGATGATACAACCTTCTTACTGTCTGGCAATGCTGATGAATATATATATATATATCCTTTAGTTCCAGTTCAGACATCATAAGAGATCTTCTAGAAGAAGAGGAAGCCTGGGAAGCGTCACATAAGTGAGTTCTCATAATCACGAAATAAGCATGCACTTTGACCTGAGAAATTATACTTCTATGCAGCTTATTTTCAAACAAAATGATATTTGTGCTATCTGGTTTAAGAAAGTAGTAATCCACACACAACATAAAGATTTTCAGTTTACTACTTGTTTCTATGTATTTCCGCTAAGGAATGGAATCCTATAATTGTAGCTACGTATCAGATGTTCCTTCTGTATGTATAAATTGTTCCTGTGGGTTATTAATATGATCATGCATCACTTAACAGTGGGAATATTTTCTGAGAAATGTGATTCATTGTTGTGGGAGCATCAGAGTATGCTTACCTAGATGGTAATAGCCCACCAAACAGCTGGGCTCTAGTGTATAGCATATTGCTCCTAGGCTACAAACCTGTATAGCATGTTACAGTTAGGTATTTGTAACACAATGTTACCTGTTAGTATCTAAACCTAGAAAAGGTACAGTAAAAACATGGTATTATAATCTTATGTAATTGCCGCAATACAGCTAGAGTGATCTTTTCAGAATGCAAATGTGATCACTATTACTCATCCCTCTGCTCTGAAAAATCCTGAATGGCTTCTTCTTCCTTTTAGGTTCAAGAATGGACTCTTTAATTTGTCTAAAAGGCCCTAAATGGTTGGATCTCTTTCTCCAGACCCATCTCTTACTATATACTTACAAATTCTCTCTGCTTGATCATACAGATTTCTTATGTCCTCCTGCATGAAAAGCTCCCTCCCAACACAGGGCCTTTGAACTTGGCCCTCTACAAAGAATGTTGTTTATTTTTTCACCTAGGTAACATCACTACTCACCAGCTCAAGTTTTTCCTGGATCCAGTCCTCCTACTATAGGTGCTTACAGTACTGTGCCCATCACTTTCCAGCACATTTATATGGTTATTTGTTTGCCCATAACCCTTACTGCTCTATTAAGTTCAGCATTTTAACCCCACTGTCAACATGAGTCTAACTCATGGGAAATACATGTGTGATCTCATTAAAATATAACACTGTTCCCCCAATCTAAAGACAGGCAATTTGAATTAAAAACTAAAACCCATCAGTATGCTGCATCCAGATCCATCTCACATTCAAGGATACACAAAGACTCTAAACAAGGGATGGAGAAAGATTTACCAACCAAACAGAGAGCTAAAATAAATAAATAAAAAGCAGAAGTTACAATTAAGCAACAAAGATCAAAAGAAGCAAAGAAGGACATTATATAATGATAAAAGGATCAATGCAAAAACAAGAAGAGCTAAAGATCCTAAATATATACGCACCCAATACAGGAATACCTAGACATACAGGACTTATAAAGAGACTTAGACTCCCACATAATAATAGTGGGAGACTTCAACATTAATATTAGACAGATCAATGAGACAGAAAATTAACAACGATATTCAGGTCTTGAACCCAGATCTGGAACAAGTAAATGTAATTAACATTTATAGAACTCTCCACTTTAAATATACAAAATATACACTCTTATCAGTACCACATCATATCAATTTAGAAGTTTAAATGAAATCTTGGTTGGCTCCTTGTTTGTTATTCTCTTCCCTCATTTTCTTTCATGTCTCCATTATTAAGGACAATTATAGGTTTACCCATATTTAGACTGCATTCTAGCCTGGGCAATAAAGCAATACCCCCATCCTCTCTCCCTCTTCCTCTTTCTCTTTCTTCCTCTTCTTTATTCTAAAAAAAAAAATAAAATAAAATAAAATATAACACTGTTATGTGCTATTATTATCCCTGTTTACAGTGTGGAAACTGAGGCTAAAAGGGCTAAGTCTCCAGCTGAAAGTCATACAGCAATAAGTAATAAGTGATAGAAATGAGATTCTAACCTACTTGTCAAAAGTCAGTGCTCTCAACCATTAAACGCTACTATCTTTCCAAAAGAGGAGAGGTTTGCTGTGCTGTTGACATTTTGTAGTTTCTTAACTAAATCACTGGGATAGTGGAAAAGTGTGCTGTATCCAGGGGCTACATGGTTTTATTATGAGATATTTGGTGGTTCAAGCAGTAACATTTTATGTAAGTTTGAGTATTGGGCTGCATTACTGTCTCTTACCTAAGCATTATTTAACTTTGAGTTCTGGAAGAGAAGGCGACTCCTTAGTTATTTCCTCTTGTACCTCTTCATGCTGCACTAACCCTGACACCAGTGACTATAATGAGCCCAGAGTTCCTGAGCCCAAACCTATTCTTGTTAATGATGACTTCTTTCTTTTTAATATATATTTTATTGCACTTTAGGTTCTGGGATACATATACAAATCTTGCAGGATTGTTGCATAGGTACATACATGGAAATGTGGTTTGCTGCCTCCATCCCCCCGTCACCAGTATCTGGCATTTCTTTCCCTGTTATCCCTCCCCAACTCCCTACCCGCCACTGTCCCTCCCCTAGTACCCCCAACAGACCCCAGTGTGTGATGCTCCCCTCTGTGTGTCCACGTGTTCTCATTGTTCAACACCTGCCTATGAGTGAGAACATGCCGTGTTTGATTTTCTGTTCTTGTGTCAGTTTGTTGAGAATGATGGTTTCCAGGTTCATCCATGTCCCTACAAAGGACACAAACTCATCGTTTTTTATGGCTGCATAATATTCCATGGTGTATATGTGCCACATTTTTCCTGTCCAGTTTATCATCAATGGGCATTTGGGTTGGTTCCAGGTCTTTGCTATTGTAAACAGTGCAGCAATGAACATAAGTGTTCATGTGTCTTTATAATAGAACAATTTATAATCATTTGGATATATACCCAGTAATGGGATTGCTGGGTCAAATGGAATTTCCATTTCTAGTTCCTTGAGGAATCACCACACTGTCTCCCACAATGGTTGAACTAATTTACATTCCCACCAACAGTGTAAAAGTGTTCCTATTTCTCCACATCCTCTCCAGCATCTGTTGTCTCCAGATTTTTAAATGTTCACCATTCTAACTGGTATGAGATGGTATCTCAATGTGGTTTTGATTTGCATTTCACTAATGACCAGTGAAGATGTGCATTTTTTCATATGTTTGTTGGCCTCATACATGTCTTTTTTGAGAAGTGTCTGTTGATGTCCTTCTACCACTCTTGAATGGGTTTGTTTTTTTCTTGTAAATCTGTTTTAGTTCTTTTTAGATTCTGGATATTAGCCCTTTGTCAGATGGGTTGATTGGAAAATTTTTTTCCCATTCTTTTGGTTGCTGAGTCACTCTAATGATTGTTTCTTTTGCTGTACAGAAGCTCTGGAGTTTAATTAGATCCCGTTTGTCTATTTTGGCTTTTGTTGCCAGTGCTTTTGGTGTTTTAGTCATGAAGTTCTTATCTATGCCTATGTCCTGAAAGGCTTTGCCTAGGTTTTCTTCTAGAGTTTTTTGGTGTTAGGCCTTATGTTTAAGTCTTTAATCCATCTGGAGTTAATTTTAGTGCAAGGTGTCAGAAAGGGGTCCAGTTTCTGCTTTCTGCACATGGCTAGCCAGTTTTCCCAACACCATTTATTAAACAGGGAATCCTTTCCCCATTGCTTGTTTTTGTCAGCTTTGTCAAAGATCAAATGGTTGTAGATGTGTGGCGTTGCCTCCAAGGCCTCTGTTCTGTTCCATTGGTCTATGTCTCTGTTTTGGTACCAGTACCATGCTGTTTTGATTAGCCTTGTAGTATAGTTTGAAGTCAAGTAGCACGATACCTCCAGCTTTGTTCTTTCTGCTTAAAATTGACTTGGCTATGCGGCCTCTCTTTTGGTTCCTCATGAAGTTTAAGGTGGTTTTTTCCAGTTTTGTGAAGAGCGTCATAGGTAAATTGATGGGAATAGCATTGAATCTATAAATTACTTTGGGCAGTATGGCCATTTTCACAGTACTGATTCTTCCTAACCATGAGCATGGAATGTTTCTCCATCTGTTTGTATCTTCTCTTATTTCCTTGAGCAGTGGTTTGTCGTTCTCCTTGAAGACGTCCTTTACATCCTTTGTTAGTTGTATTCCTAGATATTTTATTCTCTTTGTAGCAATTGTGAATGGCAGTTCGTTCTTGATTTGTCTCTCTTTAAGTCTGTTATTGGTGTATAGGAATGCTTGTGATTTCTGCACATTGATTTTGTATCCTGAGACTTTGCTGAAGTTGCTTATCAGTTTCAGGAGATTTTGGGCTGAGACAATAGGGTCTTCTAAATGTACAGTCTTGTCATCTGCAAATAGAGACAATTTGACTTCTTCCTTTCCTAATTGAATACCCTTTATTTGTTTTTCTTGCCTGATTGCTCTGGCTAGAACATCCAATACTATATTGAATAGGAGTGGTGAGAGAGGGCATCCTTGTCTAGTGCCAGATTTCAAAGGGAATGCTTCCAGTTTTTGCCCATTCAGTATGATATTGGCTGTTGGTTTGTCATAAAAAGCTTTTATTATTTTGAGATACGTACCATCAATACCTAGTTTATTGAGAGTTTTTGGTATAAAGGGCTGTAGAATTTTGTCAAAGACCTTCTCCATCTATTGAGATAACCATGTGGTTTTTGTCTTTGGTTCTGTTTATGTGGTGAATTACATTTATAGACTTGCATTTGTGGAACCAGCATTGCATCCCCGGGATGAAGCCTACTTGATTGTGATGGATAAGCTTTTTGATGTGCTGTTGCAATCGGTTTGCCAGTATTTTATTGAGGATTTTTCATCTATGTTCATCATGGATATTTGCCTGAAGTTTTCTTTTCTTGTTGAGTTTCTGCCGGGTTTTGGTATCAGGAGATGTTGGCCTCATAGAATGATTTGGGAAGGATTCCCTCTTTTTGGATTGTTTTGAATAGTTTCAGAAGGAGTGGTACCAGCTCCTCTTTGTATGTGTGGTAGAATTCGTCTGTGAACCCATCTTGACCTGGACTTTTTTTGGTTGGTAGGCTACTAATTGCTGTCTCAGCTTCAACTATTGTTATTGGTCTATTCAGGGTTTTGACTGGTTTAGGCGTGGGAGGGTGCAAGT